TTTAAGTTAAGCAGGACAGAGTTCTTTTAAAGAAAGATTTACTTATATTCTCAAAAGTTAAGCATGACAGGCTTCTGTTTAAGAAAGAGACCTGTTTTATTGTGTTAATGTTGTCATTGTGAGCTAAAAATAAATGGCTAAATGATCACTTGTTTCACATGTGTTCATATCACAAAGAATAGAATATGCATCTACTTAAATCAACTTCAAGTCAAATGGTTAAAAAATAATAATTTCACACACAAAAAAAGAGCTAGAAAATTCACCACACTGGGAAGGGTGAAGACAACTGGGTTGCCCGGCCCTGGCCACGAGGTGTCCCTTATTTATTTTTCAGGGAGTTGGCAACCCTAGAGAGGACTGAAGAGCGGACTGGATGAAATGTGAGTGTTCGTCAGTATTTGTTTTGAGCGTTTATTGTTATAAAAATCAATGAAAAACTGTAAATACGTAGTAAGGATGCAACCAGTTGTTCCAGCTCCTTTATGGTTTTTGTTGTTGTCCTGACACTAAGGTTACTTACATTACGCTACATTACATCAGCGGTCCCCAACCCCCGGGCCTCGGACCGGTACCGGTCCGTGAGTCGTTTGGTACCGGGCCGCGAGAGTTGAGGCTCAGGTCTGAAATATATGGTTTTCAGGGTTTTTATCGGTTTTCAGCGTTATTTTGTCATCGTTTTTATCGTTAACTCGGTTTTCCGGGTCTTTTTTTCGGTACCGGTACTAGTTTTATTTTGTTGTATTTATCCGCAACACCTTAAAGGCCGGTCCATGAAAATATTGTCGGGCATAAACCGGTCCGTGGCGCAAAAAAGATTGGGGACCGCTGCATTACATGACATAATATACCTTCCTGTCTCCACTGATACCAATTGTATCACATCTAAAAAGAAAAAAAGTCGGTCGGCAGTTATTGAATTATATACTGTTCTGTTGCCTTAAGTCTTCTGGATTTGTGGAAAAGACATTAAATGCTGATGCAACTTCCTGTTTTTATTCTAACCCTAGCTGTCATCATAGAGGACACTACTGAAATCACTTTTATTACTCAAAAGTAAAAGAAGGTTGGAGCCATTGGGGGGAAAAATATAGGGTTAATTTGGATTTATTTATTTATTTTTGTAAATTTTGTAAATTCTAGTAGCCCTAATCCTCTTCCATACAGAGAAAACAGAGATCATGTTAAAAAACACTTGAGCTTAGTAGCAAAACTACTGTTATTGTAGTTGTAATAATTGCTCTGAGCATAGAGCAATAAATTCAGATTTTTATTTAACTGATACTAAATTATGTTACAAATCTGACTCCAAAATTGATTATTGTATTGCAATAAAATAATCAAAAAGAATGCATACTACAACATACAGCTGACTTACAACATGTTACCATGTAATGCACATAATGCCATGTAGTTCACCTGAACCAAAGAGCAGAGCCTTCTGCCAATAAACCAGCTGCACTTGAAAATTAAACTTTTCTTTAAAACTCATCATTACTCCTCATTTTGAGATCAGTTCAGTGAACCTCCGTTTCCTCTGCCTTCACCAGCAGCAGTGCTCCTAAACCTGTACACAGAATTCAGCATCAATGGGGCCTTCTCACGTGTAGAACTTACCTATACAATGCATATTAATGTATAATCCTGTGTTATTAAACGTATTATCAAGGCTGCTGTCTCAATGTAATCAAGACAGCAATAGCTCAGTAGGTAGAGTGTTCACCCCATGATCCGAAAGTTGGGGGTTCGAATCCACTGAACGGCCACCCTGAGGTATCCTTGAGCAACGTACTGTCACTTCACACTGCTCCCCAGGCACTGGATTGGTAGCTGCCCACTGCTTCACTGAGTGAATGGGTTAAATGCAGAGGACTACAAAATTTCCCACGAGTGGGACTATAAGGGCTTAAAAAAATAAAAAACAAAAAAAAGCTATTGAGGCTGCTGTCTTGATGAGATCAGACATCCTCTTTAGCCCGGAGGATAAGTAGTAAGACCACAGATTAGTTTTCAGTAAGGAAGCAGTGTTTCTGTATCCTGCTTCTTTGTTTGTTCCTTGTATGGTAGCATGTGTGAATGCAACAAAGAGCTGTATCACCTGCCAACACTTTTCAGAAGTGTTTGTGAGGTCATGCAGTGATTTCCAATCAGGTCTGTCTCTAATGTAGTGCAGGCCTGAACACTATCAACATCTAAGCTCTGTGGCATTTTTAAATTGTTTCATAGAATGATGAATTTCCTATTTTTACTATAGAAACATTCAGCCTGTCAGGGATTTTCTTTTAAAACACAGTCATATTATACAAATTTTATTCAAAATATTTTTTAGCATGTAGTGGTCGCAAGATAATGTGAAGGGGACCAGACGGATAAAAACAACCACACGAGCCTTCAGACATCTTTCAGAGCTCTGAATATATTTCTTATATAGATACAGAATTTTAACATTTTCAGCATTTCATTTAGTTCCCCTTTTTGCCTCTTCACCCTCTGTTTTAGGCACTTTTCCCCATGCAGTCACACAGACTGCCTCTCCTAACTTCTCCATTTGTTTAGTGACTGTCTTCCACCCATCTCCACTTCCTCTCTCGCCTTCACAGCCCATTGCCGCCTCCTCTCCTAGAATGTGACATGGTGCCTGTCACATTCTACTCCACACACACACACACACACACACACACACACACACACACACACACACACACACACACACACACAGCTGCGGAGATCTACTATGCCAATCTAACCAGCTTCTTTTTCTCAACCCAGCTGCTATTAAACAACATAAAATAATTCACTCGCCTGTGGGACAACATATAGGACTCTTAAAGTCCTTTTAATTTAAACAGTCACAGTGAGTTTTACACTTCATGGCCAGCAGACATCAACCTGTAGTTCTTAGCAAAAGTCTCTTTCTCTAGTGCCCAGACACTGGAAGCATTTCGCATGAGTATCGTTTAACTTAACGAACAGATAATTTAGACTTTGTCCAATATGTACACTTTGATGTAACAGGTGTTGCTTACCTTTACATTCTGTTGGACCGGTTCTCTGTTCGCCTCGTTCCATGACCCCCATTCCTCTATTGCTGATTATTCTCTTTAAATTATTTTGTAGCATCACTAACCTATATTTGTGAAAAAGGAAGCAGTACTGTCATGGCAGATCAAGGTGAAATGAAGGTAAGTAAAAATTGGAAAATGCTTTCATTAAACTGCCAACTTTAATAAAACAAATGTTAAGAAATTAGCTTTTATAAATTAAAACATAGGGTTTATGTTTTTCACTAGATATATTCAGTAAATATTGAACTGTGTAACAATTAATTTAGAAATTAGGAATGTTAACTGGACTTTATATTTCACTGCCATGAGGATGATCTTTCATCAGACATACAAGATTGGAGTAAAGATCAGATTATACAATCAGCTAAACTTTATAGTGACTGCACACTTATTTATGTAGTGACTTAAACTAAGAAAACAAACTTTTTATTTTAGACTCAAGAGGAGGATCTGTCCCCTGACATCAAGAATTGGAGCAAACATCAAGTGAGACAATGGGCTCTCCAGTTGGATGGTGTGGATGACAAAGTTGCTGAAATATTATTTAATCAAGACATCAATGGGCATAGTCTTCTTCTTTTAAATCCAACAGACTTGACTGCAACTGGTGTCACTTTAGGACCAGCTAAGCTTCTCATTCATGCCAGAGATGAAGTTGTGAAATTTAAAAAAGAAGAGCCAGTAGGCTCTAGAAACCAGCCTGGAAAACTGTGCAAGCCATATCCATTTGGTAAACACCACGATACATTCAGATATATGGAGAGCAGGATTCTTTATGTTACAGAATCAGGTGCCTCAGATTTGATTGAACCCTGCCATGAGTACAAAGCTTTCACCAGGACAACAGAAGAAACTAAAATGAAGAAGTTCACATCTGAGGTCATTCGCTTTGCAGCTGCCTGCATGAACAGCCGCACCAACGGCACCATACATTTTGGAATAGGAGACAAACCGGAGTTCACCCATGGTCAAGTGTTGGGAGTGGTTGTTGAGGACAGAGAGGCTTTTGGAAATGAACTAAAATCTGCCATTGATAGGTATTTTGAATATAAACATAAACAAGCTGCTCAGACATGCGTCAGACATCCACGATTTGTTGAAGTTCTCAACAAGAACATGACATCATCTGACAAATGTGTCATAGAAGTCGACGTTGTTCCAGAGACTACGATCTGTGAAGAAAACGGCTACCACACATACACCATAAAAAAGGCAAGAAAAAAGGCAAAATGAAAGAAACTGAATCAGAACCATCAAAGTGTTTCTTTATCCGTGATGGTGGTAGCAGCAGAGATCTTCTTGCGCAACCAAATAAGCGAGAGTACGAGCAGTTTCTAGAAAGTATGGCTCAGCGCTCACAACGCCGGAAAAAGGCAGAGGAGAAGCACCTCAGTGTGAGAAAAAACAGCACTCAGGGCTCTAGACTCAGTCACATGATCACTGGTGGCTCTCTGTCTTTAGATAAATCCAATGTTGAGCAGTATGTGATAATAACTAACAAATCACACCCAAGCCAGTTAGATTCTTTAAACTTTCTTGTACATCTGAATCCAGCAGCGGTGTTGGACTTTGATCCAGAATCAGCTAAAGAGGGATTAGAGCAATATTTTGACCAGCAGAGCCCAGTAAATGTTCATTCACCGGCACGATATAAAATCACAGAAGGAGTTGAAGACATTGTGAACAAGTTGAAATTAACTCAAAACACCAACTGGGTGTTCTGCAATGGAGGCATTGAGCATGAGTCGCCCTCAGAAATTGACCAGTGGTTAATGGACAAGGGAGCCTCCATCAGAGATGTGATTTCCTTCTTGTGTCGCAAAGGTATCCTTCCAAACAAGAGGTTCCTCGTCATTTTTTTAATTTTGTCAAGAGTGAGTGAGAAGATGGACCCCCTTGTGGAGACTTTCAGTACATTCTGGCAGGAACTCAGAGGCACAGATCAGATCCTTTGCATATGTGACAATGACAAAGCATTCAACTCCTGGAGAGACTTAATTGAGGCTCGATGTGGAATCGACATCTCAGGTAGATGCATACATGATCTCAGCTTTGCAGAAGTCAATGGCACTATCCTTAGCCTTTGGTCAGAGAATCGCAGATCCAGTCGTTTCCTACCGTGTGGTGGGGGAAGCAAAGTGCTATTTGAGAAGAAAGTGGAGCGAAGTCTGAGTACCTTAGATGTCCTTTGTGTGAACCAATGTGAGGAAAAAATTCTGATAGAACAGAACTTCTACAAGGGTGGAAAGTTAACGTGGTGGAATTTCTATTTCTCGGAGCAGGCCGGATCCACGCCGTTTATCAAACGAGACCACTTTGACTACATCAAGGATACAATCATGCCTGATTTATGCTCCCTGAGAAAAGCCTGTGTGTTCTTTAACCTCATGCATGTACCTGGATGTGGTGGGACAACTTTGGCCATGTACCTATTGTGGTCTCTCCGGAACACATTTCGTTGTGCTCTCCTCAGGAACAACAATGCTGACTTTGCTGAAGTAGCCAGTCAGGTGACCAAACTTCTCATGTATAAACATCAGGAGCAGCTGCCACGTGTCCCTGTTTTGCTGATGATAGATGACTTTGAAAATATGGAAAAGGTATGTGACCTGCAGCAGCTCATTGAAAAAGAATGTGAAGAGAAAAAAATTCAGTCTAAGTCTGCGCAGGTGGTTATCTTAAACTGCATGAGATCAGAGTCTTTTGAACAGACCGGACAAGCTGCAGATACTGTATTCATTGGAAATAATGTCTCTGAGAGGGAACAGTTTGAGGTAAAACTAGTCGAAATTGAGACAACTTACAAGAACGCTGTGCCTATGAAGGTTCTCAGTCATCCAGTTCATCGTAGTCAAAGGAGCTTGCAAAGACAAGCGTTCTGAAGAACCTGAAGAAGCTTCTCAGATGAGAGGTGAAACATCTTCAAGCAACTTAAAGAAGTCCAGACAATTACAAACGATATAAGATGGCGCTGGATAATGGATAATGCACTTTTTAAAACTTCTGGAACCAGCTCCTTCATCTATTCGAGAGCGGAGCTGCTGGCACTAAGAACAAAGGAACAGACCGGCCTGCGACACAACATCCCGGCTGAGATAAAGAGGAGCTACAGAGGCTGCAAGGCTGGAGTGAGGAAAGCGGATCACCGGAGGTGATTCAAACCGACATCAATCCCGACAGTGATAATGGGCAACGTGAACTCGCTACAGAATAAAATGGATGAACTGTGTGCTCTGAACAACCACCGACTGTACCGTGAGTGCAGTTTGTTTATCTTCACGGAGACGTGGCTAACCGAACTAACGCCACAGGCTAACGTAGACCTATGCAGTTTCACATCCGTGAGACACATGTGGTTGGAGGATGAGGAGGAGGTCTCCATTTCTCCACCTGTTCCCTCTTCCAGAAGGAAACGTTGCCCTCGCCACCGCCACTCCTCTCCCCAGTCATCTGTTCTGCAACTTGGTCCTGCTGGAGGGTCCGAGGGGCCCGTCCGGCCTTCATCTGTTGTTCCCGCTGGGGGTTCTAGAGAACCGCACCAGCCTTTGTTTGCCTCCGCTGGAGGGTCCGAGGGGCCTGTCCAGCCTTCTGTTCCCGCTGGGGGTTCTGGAGAACCGCACCAGCCTTTGTTTTCCTCCGCTGGAGGGTCCGAGGGGTCCGTCCAGCCTTCTGCCTCCGCTGGAGGGTCCCAGGGGCCCGTCCAGCAACAGCAACCTGCCTCCGCTGGAGGGTCTGAGGGGCCCGTCCAGCAACAGCAACCTGCCTCCGATGGAGGGCCCGAGGGGCCCATCCAGCAACCTGCCTCCACTGCAGCGCCGTCGCCTGCAGCGCCACCCTCCTCGTCTGGTCTAGCCTCCGAGTCTTCATCCTTGCCTGGTCCAGCGTCCGAGTCTTCATCCTCATCTGGTCCAGCCTCCGAGTCTTCATCTTCGCCTGGTCCAGCCTCAGAGTCTTCATCCTCGCCTGGTCCAGCCTCCGAGCCTTCATCCTCGCCTGGTCCAGCTTCAGCTTCAGCTTCGCCTGGTCCAGGTTCAGCTTCGCCTGGTCCAGCTTAAGCTTCAGCTTCGCCTGGTCCCGTGGCACTCTCCGGACCACATCCTGCGCCTCAACATCGCCGGCCTCCTTCCAGGCCACGTCCACGCCCTGTCCGGCCTGCACGTCCACACCCTGTCCGGCCACCTTCCAGGCCATTGGCTGGACAGCGGCGACTGCCCTGCTCACGGCCGGCCTCTGGACCTGCCCTGTCGCCGCCATTGCCTTCCGCCCGGTCGGCCTCCAGGACTGTTCTTTGGACTGTTGTGCCATCAGCCTCCGGGCCGGCCCCCTGAACTTTTTCGGAACTGTTTTCTTGGCC